TAGACTTATCCAAAATATTTCACATGGAGGTATTAGAGTCTAGTTTGGTGAATAACTTTTGATAACTTGGATTAAATTCGATAGGTAATCCAAAAGTAAAAATAGGTTCTAACGTCAAATCATTTCACTCCAGGTATGTTAACTTTGGAAACCCTGCTTTAGAGTTTCCATTTTTTTCCACATTATATTGTCTGGTTATATTATCTGATTCAAAGTCATGCCATCTATTGTCTTGTTTGGGAATGACTCATTGGGAAAAACCACAGGAGTCGCCTATTTCTGCTCAGTATTCCTCACTCTCGTAACTTCTTCCCCTGGCTACTGGGGAGGCCATCCCAGTGAAAATGCCTGAAGCCACAGCCCCATTGCTCAGGAGGCAGTTCCAAGCCCTGAGGTGCTCCTGATGGAGAGGAAGATGCTGTCCCCCACCCCAGGAAGACAGCAGAGTGCTGGTTCTGACACTGACTAGACTGGCTCAGAGAGGGAACTGTCTTGGCTGTGTTCATGAATCTGTTAGTCATCCTTGTTTTTTTTATTTTGGATTAAAAATCAGCAGACTTTGTTAAGTGACACCTCTCTCTAACCATTTTTTATTTGGGCGAAGTTGAACGTGAACAACCTCTCCCTTGTGGTATGGGTTGTAACTATGGACGTTTTCCACCATGCTGTTTTTGGCTACAAGATGAACGTTTTCTCAACACACAAAAAGAAATGGGTATTTGACATCCACTGTGGATAGTCGGCTTAGTAACTTAAAATTAGCCAGTTGTCACCACCATAAGTCTTTTTTTTTTTTTTTAATTCTTCAAGAGTCAGCGTAGGATAAGTGTATGATTGAGTATTACAAAATATTCAGGGCATAGATGTGCTGTGTAGTCTGAATTCTTCCAGAGTCAGCATAGGATAAGTGTATGATTGAGTATTACAAAATATTCAGGGCATAGATGTGCTGTGTAGTCTGACTTATTAATGTCTCTAAGCAATCTCAAAGTAACAGAATCTGAATGTAAATCCCCTAGCTTCAAATACAGAGTCTGTATGACTGACTCAATTATAACACATAGGGCTCATTGTTTTCCATTAAAAAATTGAATTATTAAGGAACTCACATCATTTGCTTTTCATGTACATTCTGCTATTGGCATAAATTGTCTGGAGTCTGTAATGTTATACATAAAACAAATCTGAATGTAAATCCCCTAGCTTCAAATACAGAGTCTATATGACTGACTCAATTATAACACATAGGGCTCATTGTTTTCCATTAAAAAATGGAATTATTAAGGAACTCACATCATTTGTTTTTCATGTACATTCTGCTATTGGCATAAATTGTCTGGAGTCTGTAATGTTATACATAAAACAAAAATTCCATGTGGTCAGTCTGTCTCTTCCTCGCCTTTTGGTTCTTGGCCTCCTGGGACAAGACAATGGCACAAGGTGGCCACTTGTGTGAGCTATGGTCTCACATGTCCACTTCAGATGCAGCCTCTCCACATCAGGCCCAACTCACGTGGGCTTGGCATGGGGCTGCTCTCCCTGGGCTCTCCAGGTGAGACTCTCAAGCTCTCCTGTGTGTTGGCTTTCTCTTGATTCTCCTTTACTCCATGACTTATCTATGAAAAGCTCAATTAAAAAAAAAATGCATTTTCTAAAACCAGATTTATGCTTTAATGTGAGGTAGTGAGAATTGAAAAGTGTGCAGGGAAAGGGAGCTTTTCCTGGTGTGTCTCGTGGGCACCAGTGTGTCTTCACCTGTTTGCTTGTTAGGCGCGAGTGGAGAGCTTGGATAAAGATAAGGCGATTAAGGTGCTTTGAACGGAGCTTAGCCAGGAGTAAGTGCTCCAAAGCAGCAGTGTTTCTGTTATTTGTGGTTCTGGAAGTGGTTTCTCACCCTGCCTTTTAAATAGAAAGGGATTGCAGAAGACCGCCAATACCTACAAATTCTTCCAATCAGAAAGGGTCAGAAGCTCCCCCAGCACAGCATCACGTTCACCAGAAACACCCTTGGGCTTAGGGTGACACTGGGGAAATCCCATCTCTGCTGCTCCGCAAGCCCTTGCCCCGACTCTAGGTGGTTCTGTCTTCAGAATTCCTGTTGTACCTGTGATCTACAAAGAGGGGCACTTAATTTGACTTAAATTTGTGTCATTGTTAGCTTCCACTTGTTCATTCATATTTGCTTTCAATTCCTACATTTTTTTTTTTTTTTTTTTTTTTTTCGTGACCGGTAAGGGGATTGCAACCCTTGGTGTGGTTTCAGCCAGTGAGTGCACCGGCCAGTCCTATATAGGATCCAAACCCGTGGCGGGAGCGGCGCTGCGCTCCCAGCCCCGCACTCTTCCGAGTGCGCCACTGGCCGGCCCTCAAGTCTTCCTACATTTTAATCAAAGTGAGCCCATCGTACATGATATCCTTTAAATTTCTTCCTCTCTCACCTCTAGCTAGAAGCTCATCTACAGCCATACCCACCCTTACTTCCTTTCCCCAAGTTTCAGGGGATGTGGTGCCCCTCTCTCTTCAGATGCAGTCCCTTTTGGCTTCCTCTGGGATAATAATAAAACCACAACAATGACAATCACACCACCAATAAAAGTGTAATCTTTAGAATTATCTTACATAATCCTCTGAACCTCCAAACGAAAGAAACTATTATTACCTCTGTTTAACAGAGGAGGAAACTGAGGCTGAGAGAGTTTAAGCAAAATGCCCTCAGTGACCAAATAGGTGGTGGAGACAAGATTCAAGACCACATGGTTTGATTCCAGAGCCCACACTCTTAAGCAAAATGCCCTGCTGTTCTCTAGTACCACAACTTATTTAACTCTCCTTGATTAGTTTCTTGCTAGTCAGTGACAAAGACTGCACATCATGGTAACACTGCAGGACATCTGTGATTGGGGCTCTCTGCTCAACCGTACTCCGTGTCTTCTGAGGAATCATAATCCCATCAATTAAAATGACTGGTATGCTAACGTTTACACATGTGTGCATGCACACACTTATTCTTAAACTTCTAAAGCACTCAAGCATTGTGTCCTTTTGTATTAATTTAAGTAAAGAAGCAACAATGTTTCTTAACAAACTCTTGAAACAATTACCTTTTTTGATGTTTTAATGGTTGACTGGTATGGGGTTCCAAACCCTTGACCTTGATGTTATAATACCATGATCTAACCAACCGAGCTAACCGACCAGCCCCTCGGGACAATTACTTTTTAAGAGTAAAGCATCAAATTGTTGCCTCACTTTTTTACCACAATGTATTCTGAAAGGTGAACTGACACTTCTCAAAGCATTGGGAATAGTGGGTTTTGTCAGGATTTACTTTTTAGGAGCATGTCAAATATGCTTATTGAAATTTGAGATCCCATCCCCATGCTTTCATTTTGATAAGCCATTCCATGGGTTACCATACCACCCCCCACCCGCCTCCACCATCACTGACCATTACAGATTTGCAACAAAGTTGGACTGCTCACTTTGAATGAAAACTTTACATCAAGGAAGTATGGCTTGTTTGTGAAATGAGTTACATGACTTATTAAATTATTGATGTGATTTGTGCCTTCCAAAATTGTGGTCTCACTTGGAGAACCTTGAAACCAGCCACATGTCCCATGTTGTGACCTCACCATCAGCACAAGCAGAGCTGTGAAGAGGCTATGTGAGTGACGAGAGAGTCATAGGAGTGACTTGCCTGGGTGGGGAGGAAACCTCCTGTGAGCCTTTAGTTAGGCAGGAAAAAAAAAGTCTTCATGGAGGAAACAGGAACTTGGAAGCATTTTGAATGAAGAAAGAGCTTAGTGAGCCAAACCTTAGACACAGTGTGTGATGTGGGAGAGTTTTGAGATTTGCAGATACACGGCTTGGGAGAGGTCTGATGCATTTTCCTATGAGAGCTGGAAGGATGGATGAGAGAAGGGGTACACCTGGCGTGGTATGGGGGCTCTGCTCTCTGAAGTTTGGGAAACCCCCAGAAAAGCTGGTAAATGGTCATAGTTGATTGGCCTGGAGAGCAGAGCTTTGATAGGAAGTGGGTGCAGGCATCCAGCCCTAGACTCCAGTGGTTATTTAAGAATACTTCTACTTACAGTGGCTAACACTTACAAGCCGCCGCTCTATGCCAGCTACAAAAGGAGCCGATTTAGGTTAGAAAGTGTTTGGAGTACGGTGGGAAACCCCAGGCAAGAACTGGCCCCTAGTGCCTGCAGATTTGAAGATTTCCTAAAAAGGTCAAGGACTAAGTCATAAGGAAAAGGAAGTGTTAGGAAGGTGAGCAATTTAATGCTCACCACATTTAGTTTGTACCTACCTCCAGGCACCTTGCTGCTGGTTTTTAACCACAGTGACACATCAGAATCACTGTGTGTGTGTGTGTGTGTGTGTGTGTGTGGTTATCTTTTATGGGTTTGTAAGACGTTTCTTTTGTTCTGTGTAATAAAAAACCCATTGTTTGATCAGTGACTGGCTAATTATGATAAGTAATTTGAAACATTCTTGATGAAACTTGTCTGTTAATTAACATCAACAGCAAATGGAAACTAACAGGACAACAAAGTATTAGTGCATCCACTGTTCCCTCATTGATGAAATCTCCCTGTGTCATGCCCAATAAACTAAAGCTGCCAATGGTTAAAAAATAACAAACAGGTGGGAACGTCTGACTCACCATGGAGGAAAAGTTATTGTAAAGTTACACAAAGGAGTACTCAGGTATTCCAAGCAAGCGGGAGGTAAAGAAATGTCAGCAGATTGCCTGGTCCTGTTGTGCTAGAGTAAGGAGAATGGTCTCTTTCTTTTCCTTGTTTTTCTTTAAAACTTAATTTCTTACATTCGTCCCATGTTGATCTGAACTAAGAGACTTTTGATGTGCAAAAGTATGGATCTGAAAATGTGTAGTTTGGGATTACTGGAATTATCTGGCTATGTTGTAATGATCATTAATACTGTTCATTTTTATCAACTCAATGGCTTTTTTTTTTTTTTTATGCTTTTAGATTTCTACCTGGACAAGGACTGGTACTATACCCACAGATAGGAGACAAATTGGACATTATTTGCCCCAAAGTGGACTCTAAAACTGTTGGCCAGTATGAATATTATAAAGTTTACATGGTTGATAAAGACCAGGCAGACAGATGCACTATTAAGAAGGAAAACACCCCTCTCCTCAACTGTGCCAGACCAGACCAAGATGTAAAATTCACGATCAAGTTTCAAGAATTCAGTCCTAATCTCTGGGGTCTAGAATTTCAGAAGAACAAAGATTATTACATTATATGTAAGTATGATTCTATTCATTTATTTTATAGAAATTAGGATAAGCTAAATAGGTTTGTATCTATTTTTGTTTCCTTAAAATTATTGTGGCAAATTATTTGGTGAGAAGCTTTGCTGAATGGTTGTCTACTTTTTTTTCAAAGAAATCTTAATTGAATTTTGGACCCTGTGCTGACAGTATTCATTGAATATAAATATCCAAAGAGAAAAAAACCTCCTAAAATATTTATAATATTGAAATAAATGAATTATATGAATATACTCAGCATCTCTACTGACAAAACCATTTTTAAGGACCAATGGTGAGATTTTGATAGGTAAATCTTGTGTGATGCCTTTTCTCTTCATCCATCCATCCATTCACTCATTTATTTAGGATTTATTCTGTTAGTATTTATCCTGTGCAAGAGACTGTGATTCAGTGCAAAGACTCAACAGTAAACAATGAGGTATAACAGTACGCTTTCCTCATGAAGTTATGAGTCCAGAGAAGATGGAGCTCATAGGCTGGAAGGACAGGGGTTACAGGCAAAGCCCATTTATACATGGTCATGTAAATCCAGATTTAGAAGAATAAGACAAACTTTGGGTTTCCTCAATGAGTCACTGTTTTTTATATAAGGATAATAATTTGACATACTGTTTTGGAGTAGATGATCTGTATCCTTTGGGTCATATCTAAAGCTAACTCACGAGGCTGTGAAGTCCAGTGATGTGCTTGCACTGAGCGCAAGCCTCCTGTGTGCAGATCACGTGCTGGCACAAAGCTGTGATTGTTCCCAGGGATCCAGGTTTTGTCTGAATGAAGTCTGGGTGACAGAGATGGCTGTTTATATCATTCAAGGAATGAAATCATTTTTGTTAATTTCTTTGGTTTAAAATTATGCTCATAACTGGGTTGAATTCTCCATTCATTTGTTACCACAGACTTCAGTTTCGTTAAGAAACTGCTGTCCATGGCTCCCCTACCTCCTGGAGAGCAGATTGAAACTCTGGCTTTCTCAACTTCAGAGCTGCTCTTTAGAGCACAGAATCAATAATTCACTAAATACTTATCTAGTGCCCAACAATATGTATTTTTTACTACATTATTAGTAATTAAAACAAAGGTGGTCATAGATACCTAATTATCTTGTCTGTTGCTGTAACTTGAAATGCCAGAAACTGACAACCTATTTTTAAAGCCAGCCTGATACATACAGAGTAGCTTACCAAGAATAAGTAACAAAGAAAAAGAGAAAGTGGTCAATTATATATTTAAAGGAGTAATTATCATAAAATGAAAATAAAAGCATTCTGAGATGAAACAAAGCAGATGGGGTAGTAAGGCGTACAAAATAATAGGGAAATTTTTGAAAATACAAAATAGTTAACAGGTAAAATAAATGGAAACTTTAAGTTTTTGGAAGCCTGACTGTTAGAGTGTGTGTATTTCTAAAGACTTTTAAAGTAGGACTTTTTCAATAGATGCTGATGTTTAGTATAAAATTTATGGGGAACTGAAACTGACCTCAGATGAATTTGTTAAGAAGGTCAATGCCCCTGGGTGGGGTGGTAGAAAGAAGGTCAGGGGTTCCTGAAGGGCAGATGCACTAGAGATGAGACATCCTGTGGGTGAACACAAGTCCCTCAAACCATGGATGTCGCTCAGGTCCACTGATGGGCTCCTCCTTGGAGGGAAGCTGACAGACCCAAATAGATTCTTCCTCTTATGCTTTCATAAAGGTGGCTTTGTAAATTGTAAGTTCCCACTGAATGTAACTGGGATTTCAGTAAACATTAAGGATTTAACTTTTAGTCTGAAATAACATGCAAGAAATGCAAATAAATAAATGGTTTACCAACATCTCTTTGCTTAATGTAGTAGGCATTTAATAATTACTTTTTATCAATACATGGAAGATTTGTATTTAGAAGCACAAGTTGATTTATAGCTATAATAATAATCTACATGATAATGATATCTCCTATTTTTCTTTTCTTTTCTTTTTTTTTTGGAAACTCCTTATTCCACATTGGCTAGTTCATTGTAGGTAGCTGAGCTACTCTTGTCTCCAGAACTCTCCTTAGAGTTGTGGTTTACAGTGCAAAGCATGTGGTAGCCTGGGATAAAAGAATCAAAGAATCTTCCTAAAATAGAGTTGAAAGTTTCAAGTTTGAAACAATGGGGGGCTGTGTGATGTTGCTGGTTGGGAGACTGTCACAGGGCTGAGTACAGGCCCAAGGCTCAGAAGTTTGCCAGGAAGTCCAGTGAGACTTTCAGCAGAGTTGAAAGACTTCCGCTACGTCACAGGCATAGGAAGGCATTTCAGATACTTGGGAAAATGTAGAAGCCAATTTCTCACCCACCGTCTGGCAAAGCTCATTGATATACAAGTTTCCCTTGGAAGGAAATGGGAAATGAAAAGAACAAATTTTAAAATAGTTTTAAAAATTTATGTTGACTTTGCATTGCTTCTGCAAGAATCCCAAGGCACCAAAATAATTAAGGGATTTTAAAAAGTCACCACTTTCCATATCAAATAACCTGTACACACACAGCCACGCTCTACACTGTCTTTTTTAAGAAGGAAAGAAAGTGTTTGAAGGTAGTAATTTTTATATTGGTGCATTTATAAAATAGTGCTAGGTAGCATGAAGGAAAGTACTCAGATTTACAAGTACAGTATTCACACTTCAAGTCATTGATTCAGTTTGAAACTATAAATAATATTGGTATTTGAGTGGCTACATGTGTTTAGCTCCACATCTTAATGTCTAGTTGGTAAGCATCTTCACAACTGAGTAGTGGTATTAATATCATCATTATCTTGTGCTGGTTTCCTTCCACGGGAAGGAAGAAGAGAGGTGATAGTTTGGAACAGTGCTTGATTTACCCTGATGGGGAACAGTCCACATGGACTGAAATGGTAATGGGTGATTCCCTGCATGAACAAGCATTTTGGAAGAATTAGGCCAGGAGCCCATAGTCCTATGTCCTCGTTCTGTTCCCTGAGCTTAATGAGAAAGTCACTATAGTTCTTTGAACTTTAATTTCCTTCTCTAGAAAATACTTTCATTGTTGTTCTTGTTTGGTCTAATGATGGTGGTCTCTTCCAGGTACAAGCCGTTTGGTGGTTGGACATACAAGTCCAGTACAAGATCACTTGCTAACGTGGGTCTATCCAATTGAAATGGATAGAATATGCTGTAAATTCTTCAAAGGCATTTAATTTGGTTTGTAGTGTTACCCAGTTTAAAAATACAGTCATCCACAGTTGTGAATTTTAAAAGTAAATATTAATTTTTCACTGGAACTGTATTTTAAAACCTACTGAGTATCCACTAAATTCCCTTAGGAAATGATATGGATCCTTATTAATTCTTCACAGAGATTATTTGCTTTGACATGTGGCAAAATGATATATATGAGTTTTCTTCATGTTTAGTAGAGACTTTTTCGAGTGACCTATTTCAGTAATTAGCCTTGGACAGAATTTGCATAATAAAATCTCATCTTTAAATAGTCAAGAGGTGGGGATGTTATGACCATTTGGTATGAAAAGCCTCCTGATCTTCATTACATTCAGATCTTTAATTGCCTTAAAAACATAGTAAGTATTTTGCATAGCCTATAGTTATTTTTATTATGTCTTTAAAATATTTTAAACATTTATGAAATACCTATCTGTTCTGATATGGCCCATTTTCAAGGGAAGCTCTGTCTTAGACATAGTAAACACTCCAATTAATATTGGGAAAGCTTTTCTGTGTTGCCAGCCTTCATCCACAAAGTTTTCTTTGAGGCACTTTCTGTGCTTGGTTTATGATTTTTTTTTTTTAAGAGATGATAGTCTAAGGCTGAGTGAGTCAGCAGGTTCAGTGTGTTGGCCCTTTGCAGTATCTCTCCTTGTGAAGGTTCTGTGGGTTGGTTATCCAACCTTAGCACAAAATGTTGCAAAATCCCTACAGAGAGGTTTTTATCATGCTACCAAAATTATGTGAGTCAGAGATGGATGAAAAATGAGTGCTATTGTGTTAATACTAAGTTAGTAGTGACTTGGAAGAGCTGTTAGACAAAGAAAGCCATATTGGTAAGCACCTCCCAGTTTAGCTTTATATGGCCATTCTGTTATTTTGCTGCAAATCCATAGTCAAGACACAATCTGGTGGCATAGTGAGATGTCATCATTTTAAAGATTGTTTGATTAAAAGTTGTTCTATAATATACACCCTGTGGTGTTCACAGCAGTCCTTGAAGTCACCCTTCACTTTCCACACCACAGCTAAGTCCTTCTGGAGAAACCCTGAATGAATCTGGAGGAGTTACCATTTCTTAGGCCCCTCATTGGTTTAGTTGCCTAAAGCATTTTAAAAAATAAGAACATGTAGAATTGGAAGTCTCCACAGACAGCTTTGCTATTTTTTAGGCATGCACTCCACTTCTGAGTAAAATCACAAAATAAAGTAAAAATTTTGCACAAATATAATGAATAATATTCTTAATCAAAATAGAATTGTAAATTCTGTCCCTTGTTTTTGTTGATCATATGTATGTTTGCCACTTTCTTGTTTTTTTCCTCCCCTTTTTCTGTCTTTGATTTACTTATTTTGTGGGAATAGTTATGTCAAGTAGTATTACAATATACTGAATGTACTATAACCTCTTTTTCTAACAAAATAATTATGGGAGCTTCCAAGTGACCCTTTACGTATAGATTTCTTTTCGTATGTATAAGAATGTATGGCCTCGGGCCAGCCCGGTGGCGCACTCGGTAGAGTGCGGCGCTTTGGAGCGCGGTGGCGCTCCCGCCGTATGTTCGGATCCCATATAGAGACCGGTCAGCTTACTGGTTGAGCATGGTGCGGGCATGACACCGAGGGTTGCAATCCCATTGCCGGTCGCACGATACAGGCGCGACACTCTGAGGGTTGTGATCCCGTTACTAGTCACAAAAAAAGACAAAAAGGAAAAAAAAAAAAAAAGAATGTATGGCCTCTATAAAGTGATTATATGCAGGC